TAATTTTAAAGGGCGATGAACATTATTTTTTAATGTATTTAATTTATATATCACTGGAATTTCGATATAAACAAAAATTAAATTGATTTAGAATCTTAGTAATATTTATGTATACCTACTTGATATTTTAAAAATAAATATCTTATAGGTTTCTATGATTAATTATGTTTACTAAAGAATAATGAGCATGAATAGAGGACGTTTCGTTTCCAAGGTACAGGGTGTTGAAGTTAAAAAACTTAGTTGTAGTTGAAGTATATACGAGGTCTGTTCAGAAAATAACCGACTTTATTTTTTTAAACTTTATTATTAATTTTCTTTCTGTTGTTCGGTTATCAAACGAGGGATAAATTTTGCTACAACTCGATGCATGTTCAATTTTCCATCCAATTGAGATGCTAACCCCTTCCGCAATTTCTCTGACAGTCAATCGGCGATTTCCACGCACTAGATCTTTGACTTTCTGAATGTGGGAGCCATCAATTAAAGTCGAATGCCTTCCTGGTTAAGGATCATCTTCAACTGACTGACGACGACCACTTTTAAATTGTGAAAACTATCCGTAACATTGCGCACAACCCAAATCATCGTCTCCATGAGCTTGTTGCAAAAGTTAAAACGTTTCCGTGAATGTTTTCACCAGTTTTGCAAAGCAAAATTTTACGTTGCACCTTTGTTCCAGAAAATCGCATTTCAAAAATCGTCACTAACACTTAAACAAGTTGCACTCAATTAACAATATGCACTGAATGGTGGTTAGGGCCTACCAACATAAGTCGTTCCTGTGCGCAAATACGGCCTGCTTGATAATAATAATATGCCGCCTCCTCTCCCGCACAAGTCTCCGACTTCTGGGCTAATTCTCGTGGTTAGAATGAGGAGTAGAGATATTATTGTTATTATTGTTATCCACGGATGTTTTACTATAAAAAATGTTCTTTCATTTCAAACCGACAAAATGCACTATTTTAAACAAAAACACTAACTTATGATTTTTATGTTCAGAGAAAATATATTACATAAATGTTAGATACGAAACTTATAGTTATCATCTAGATGTACCATATGCTGATATTCTTACAGGGTGTTTTTAAAAAAGAGTGATAAAGAAAACATATGATTTTTTAAATTGAATACCCCGTATATTATTTCATATTTCATTAGAATGTTGTATGTAATAGTACAGTCATATAACATTTGATGTATTATATATATATAAAAAAACTATAAAATTAAATTGCTGTACTAATTTAGGTAAAAATTTTTAGTTAGTACGTAATAAATTGTTTAAAATAAAAATGAATTGCATAAAAATGTGTTTAAAATTCAAACTTATAAATCAAGGTTGGAAATAGATATAGAATCAGTTTTTTTTTGAAAATGGTGGATCTTATAATTAAGAAACAAGATAATATTTTTTGCATTAAAATGTTTGCAAATTTTAAATTTAGCAATTTTTTTCTAGTAATTTTAACAGAATCTTTACCTGATAATAGTAGTCTTCAATATTACTCATCATGTAAAATTAGAAAATAATTAATTGTTCTCTAACTGTCCAAGCTATGATCACAACTAAGTTTATTTCATTTGCAATATCATTATCTAATAATAGCTCTTTTATTCAGACAAGTACAGTATAATACAATATAAATTAGTTAGCTTATATGACACTAAGCTGATGGTAAAATATTTAAGAGAGAGACGCAGATTTATGTATGTAACTAACTATGCAAAATACGAGTATTTATGTAGACTATCAGAAAACCTGATTAAAATTTAAACAATGGAAATAGTGCTTGATATCTTTGTATTATTTTCTAGCACAAATGCATTTTATGTCTTAATAAACACATTTCGATTCCCAGATTGATTTTATATAGCTTCGAGTAGGTAATTCTCAGCAATATGGTGTACAAACTGTAAATATAAATAAGTATAGGTTGATAAAGTGTTAAGAATATTTAGGTCGTCATATATCACGCTCGATTTTACAGTTTTATATAGTAGCATTGTTTTTTAATGGAACATTGTTTCATAAAATACGATCACATTCTTTTTTAAACATGTCGTACAGTACACAAAAGAAAGTAGGTACGTGTAAGTTAAATTATATTGTTACTGTTTTTCTAAAAATACACTTTAACATCAAAAGTATCACGTCTAAACATACCTGTATACTGGTTTTTCCGGACTAATGTTTGTTAAACTATTATTTGTTTTTTAAATATTTAATACGTACAGGGATTTTCCAAAACCTTCAATATAAAAAAATAACAAATAAAATTCTGCTTTTACATGATTTCTTTATTTTCTAAAGACAGATTAATTGATGTATTACTTTTATTGTAATAAATAGGCAATGTGAAAAATAAGAAATATTTTTTAATTTCGTTTTTGGTAGACATGTTACAATGTCCTGAAATTACCGTGCAATATCTATCATCGCATTTTTCTATGTATTGTTATCAATAATAAAAACATGCAATAATGTAGGTACATACATACATACATACAATAACATAACTTGTTTGATTTTATAGTTCTTAAAAAAAAACATTAGAATTGATTATGTTTGTCTTGTATTTTATAGGAAGACGAAAAATATTTTAACTGTTAGAGTCCTGAAGACGTACTATAAACGACAAGACATCGACAAAGTATAATAATGATTTTTTTGTATACTTCCTAATTTGATCTAGATCAAAAATGAAAAAAGTAATAACCGGATGTCATCTACCAAGTACTTATATTTATGAGTATATATTTTTCTAAATATTTGTTAATATTTTATCTTATTTTCCACAAAATCTTATTCCAAATTCAAATTTTCACATACAATTTCTAAATTGCGGATATATCGTTTTTCGGAACAATACCAATTCAATAGGTTTATAATTTGTAACAAAAAATTTTGGACCAGTAATACAAACAATTTTTAAATCATAATTTTACTCACAATCCACGTAAACTAACGAAATTATACGAAGGTATACCTACCTTCGTACAGTAACATTTTATAAAATTTTTAATTTTTGGATCAAACAGTAACAAGGCTAACAAAAATGTTAGTACAAAATTTTATCAAAGCCTGACTAAGGGCGTCCTGCCTAAAGAAGTAATTAGTTTCACACCAGTACATTTAAAACCTAACAGCAATAATCAGTTTCAAATTTCATTATTTTATTTTAAGTCCCACGTGATCAGACTTCTTCTGGCGCTCACAATCAGTAAATTTGATTTTCTTAAGTTGGTGTGTCAGAAATTATCAAGGAAAAATTATTAACTAGGATCTTAGATGAAATGTCAATCCAGATATAAAAAAATTAATAAATCACTGAAATAGTTTGTATTTTATTAACATTGTTTTCATTATCTCTGAATGAAAGTGGATTACAAAAGAGCCTATATTTTTTAAAGGATAACCTTCCTCAATAAAAAAATACTTTTTCAATATAAAAATTCAAAATATCTTAGAGTATGATTTTTGCAAGTAAAAATGTTTTTTTTTCTATTGAAAAAAAGTAGCACATTTGACAGATTAAAGTTCAATGTTTGTAAATAAATCAAATATGTACCCCACTGAACTCATTTTCTGTCTGTTGGGAATTTTGTGTTAATCATTGACTCCCTTGTAAGTTTGTTTGCCTAACAGTCGCTATCACGTGGGACTCGAACATTTATGAAGGCACTGTATAAACTTTCCCTCTTATTTTTAGTATGCACTGATAAAATAGTGAAAGATAATTTTGGGACCCTTTGTATGTGACAGAAACTCTTCAAAAAAAATTTTTTATGGCTAATGTTGAGTATTTTTAATTTAATTTTCTTAAGAATGTATTTGAACAGAACAAAACCTGTTACTCAATTTTGGTGAGCTTTTTTTAAGGGGTGGGTGTAATTTAATGTAACAAAATTTAAAATTTTTTCGAAAGGTAAGTAAATTTAACCAAATATCAACTTGTTAAAAATAAATTACTTTTTAATCATAGTTATTTTCCGTTGACATCTATGATGAAAAAAATGGACACCCTATACGTATTAACTGTTGGAAAGGATTGATTGTTTATATGTTTCTTAATTGATATATTATTGAGTTCTAAAGATAAAATCAACTAACATATTTCTAATAATTTTTTAATTAATTATTTTGTAGAGGACGGTTTATATACCTATTGGTACTTGAAGAAGCATTTTAAACACTTGAACGAGATAGAATTTTCTAGTAAGAATGACACTCTGGAAATGGAAATTGAAAAATTAAAAATAAATAAATACATGGACACATCGTATACAGTGCTATTTTTTGAAACCTGATATAGGGCCAACTTTGCTATTTGAAGTGATAGATTAGTACTTCCAAATGCAAAGTTGTAAGAAATAACTTGATTACAAAAATTTACAAAATATTCTTTCCGGTGTTGCCAGATTTCTGCAGTAGCTACTAAAACTATACTTTTTTAAATGGCAACACCGTATTTTTCTAACATAATTTGACAAATCTTCAAATTCTAAATAAAAAATGTTATGTCACATTTCCTTATTTTTCCATGGCCATCTAACTGTTGATTTTTCTGATACCAAATCTTATTTGTTGTTTTCTTTTATTTATTTTCTTTACCAAATAACAAAGGACTTTTCGTTACTTAGGTATGTGGCATTTAGAGAAATAAATTTAAGTATATCAATGATACCAAAAATTAGGCGTTTGCAGACTTATTTTTTTCATATTTTGAGTTAGAGAATCAACTGTAGAATATTTCAACACTGTATATTAATGGTACATTTTAAACAAAGGCTGACAGTGTCGTAGAAATCAGCATTCTTCAAGGAAAACCAGTTAAATGATGGAAATTAAAATATCTGATAAATAATTAACGGAAATACTTAAATATATTAGTTTGTTATGTCAAACGTAATCACTATAGCTAAATTAAAATGCCTATCATTAAATGTTAATAGACTGATCTGTTAGTTTTAATTTTATCACATTTATAAAATACCTGGATCTTTCCTGCCGTTATCGGTGATATAGGCGTATCCACCATCAGTATTATCAACCACGATGTCGTAGAGAAAACTCGAGTTCTGACTCGCTACATTTTCCGGGAAAGTGTACGCGGTAGTGGTCATATTTCTCTTGATATCATAGATAACCAACTTCGGAGGACATCTGTAGGTATCCACAGGACTAAGTGTTTCCGTCTTGCCCCCGTCTATAATCCACATTTGTCCTTTGGGATCAACTTCGACATTTTGCACGTTCTGCAGAGCGTTACAGTCGTCCAAACTGTTCATTTCCCATGTGGGGAAAGGCTCCAAGAGAGGAGAAGTGTCCTTGGTGATCCCCGCTGCTATCCTGGCGAGCGTGGCGGGAACGCCGCTCTTCATCCTGGGTAGGGTGACGTAGAAGTAGTCCTCGAAGTGGGTAATGCCCGATATAATATTGTTTTCGGGGATGTACAGTCTTTGGGAGACCGCCGTTTGGTAAGCCTCCGCACTGGGCCATGTGAAATTCAAGTAGCTCCATTCCCGGGAAACTTTGAATTTGCCCGCGCTTGTTACGGATAAGGCGCAAGCTGTGAAAACTAGAATAGTGTTCCTTAGCCACATTTTTAAGAGCGCACTGTATGTGTACACTACGCGGTTTGCGGGTTGACTGAAGAAACGTTTTGCGTTGCGAGTTGTTTTATAACATCGGTGGATTTACTAACCATGCTAATGGATGATTCTATATAAACAGGTTGAAAACATGACGTCGATCACAAGACTGAATTTGCAATAAAGAGTGCGGTGGGAATATATTACGGCGGCGGTAATTATTTTTTATAAATTATTTATTTTTATGAGCGATTTTCTAAGGAGTTTGCGTCAGTTTTGTAATGTGCAGTATTTTATATTTTATAGGGATAACTACATACGCAGTCGAGATCTGTACTAAGATCGAATAATTAATGATTTTGCCGATAGGTGATACATTGTATTAATGTTTATGGAATATTTTTTAAATATTGCTGTCCATGAACATGGAAATACCTAATATTAGACATTGGTGGAAAAAGTTGTTAATCATCCTTTCGAAATATGAAAATAAAATGAAATAGTTTCAGTTTATCCTCTGTATCTGAATATTTTGTCACACTTGGAAATAAAATTAATAAAAAAATGTACGTGCCTAAAGGATCAGTCAAAAGTTATTCTTATGAAAATAGCAATACAAACTGCACAAAAGTTATCATTAAACTTGCGAATATTAGAAGAAAAGGATTCACTAAAATATTATAAGGTTATATAATTAAAAGGTGATAGATGTGTTTCAACTGTGTCAAACATTAAAAATCAAATGATGCCTTTAACCATGGAAACAGGCAAAAAACAAGCAAAATTAAACAATCAATCATATTTAAAAACCAAAAAATAGTGATGTTATTTTATATTCGTCTACTTATAAATATCAATCACATATATTTTTGGTTAGATAAAACTATTTTCAAAAAAATAACCCTTGGCTGATCCTTTTGGCGTGAGAGTTTTTCCGTTACTTCCTTATTTTTTTTTCAATACCCAATAAATAAAAGAAAACATAAAAATTCATCAGCTGATGAAGGAAATGTTACAGTATTTTGGACAAAACCACCCTTGATATAAAAAGAACTTTAATTAACGAAGCAAATTATACAAAAACTCTATGAAAATCCAACCAAATTAACAAAAAAAAAAAAATTTGTAGGACATTATCTTTATACAAACAAGAATAATTAGTTAACATTGAACATCCTGATTCATATCTTAAAAATAGTAAACATCTAAGTATTGGGAAAACTTTCTTTAAGTAATTTTAGTACTAGTTTAATAATTATACTTAATTATGCATAAGTTCATCATTGCTACCATTTTTTTTGGTTATTGTTAAAAAATTTGAAAGAAATATGTATACCTACCTAATTATTTTACTAAACAATACCGTATTGAATTATCCCGTATTTGTTGTTTGCAGATACTGAAAGAAGAAGTAAGTAATAACTGAATAAGTATTATGTGATACCTTTATCGATGCAGGTTAGCATACAAAAATAAACTGCAAAATTTATCTAAAAGGAAGCGTCAATTTTGAGAACGAGAATAAATTCATTTTTGAAACGTAAAATAAATGACATATGCTTATAATAACGCACATATACTTTTTAATATGTTGTTTATTTTTCAGTGTGAGTTTGAAGATGGAAGGAATTGAATTTCTATGTATACTCACTAAGAGGTTTCTCTTCACAGCTATCGTTAAGATCTCTGTTATATTTAGAGTAAAGTGAAACATTACTTGCACTACTTGCAAAATTTGAGATAGATACCTTCTTACTTCTTACATATATGGGTAACTTTTAATTTACTTCTTCTTTATTAGTTGTACAAGTATATGATTCCTTTATGTATTTATTTCAAAGTATTGTTTAAATTAGGCTTTTGATGATAATATATTTTATCTCTTTGTGGTGTCGAGATATTTCAGAAAAATTAAAAGGAATTAATTTAGAGACAGATATTATTCAGAAGTCTAACTACATATGTACCTACAATATTCTTATTTTTCAGTCAATACCTATATTTTCTTTTGCTATTGTTAATGGCAGACATATTGGAGCCTTTCACTGTTCTTCAAAGACTTTTAAAATATTATTTTTTACAATTTTTTTTGTTGTGTTGGGGGAGATCAAGAAAATGTTTTTTTTTATAAAAAAATAGCAGGTTCAAAAATTGCAGTTTAACCTACCTATATTTGACAGTTTACAGAATTGTTAGAATCTAAGTCTTTGTTATTCAGAAACAAATAGATAATCTAATCTAAGATAGACTAATATCAAGAGCAAGAGCAATCAATTTTATTTAGAAAAGTTCTTATGTATTCTATTAAAAATGTGTATTAGTACATACATACTAATGTTGTATTATGATTCTAAACTTAAATAAACTTAAGTAAAATTATGAATAAATAAATCAATTTTCGATTTTCAATCGAAAATATTATTATGGCCATTTCTGTTATGAATTTAAAAATAAAACTAGGAATACCTACTGTTACCATTCATAGTTTGTATGACCTCTAAAACCACTTGGAATTTCCATTGTTTTTGTCTGATTCAAGATATACAAAAAATTATTATTCACAACTTCACCACACACACAATAAAAACCACAAACACATTGCAACTGGGAAGAGTCTCCGGGCAAATAGGACGGCTTTAATGAGTTTTAAATTTTTATAGTCAAATTAGTATTTTCAGAAGAAATAATAGGGTTAGGAATGATGATCTAAAATTGTTCCACTTTTACAATGGGTGGATTAACTCTCTTTCAAAAAAATAAGTCACTGGGATGTGATTATACAGGGTGTCTCACGAGGTATCGCCACTATCGAAATCTCGGAAAGTGCTGATCCGATAAATCTGAAAATTTGGCAACCTAGCAAAGGTAGTAGGGCTAACACATCTAAAATATTTAGAATTTTATGGCACTTCCGGTTATAGAGAATGTCGACATTAGCTTTCTTATTTTAAATGGGACACCCTATATATTATTGCATTTTCAGATTCTACCTGTAATTTAGGGTCACTATTAAATATTCCATATACCTAAGAGTTATTGATTTTGAGATATTAATTTTTAAAGAAAAATTGAGATGTAAAGGTTCGTGGAGATGCTCGTAACTCTTTTCAGGAGCGTGATATCAAGCTAACATTTGGTACCTGTAAAGTTAACACTAAATTATGGTATACCAACAAATTAAAACATTTAATACTCCGTGCTTCATTTTTGCTGTTTCATTTTGATAACTTCAAATAGCTAACTTTGTTAACATAAATGGAACACCCTCTGTCGTATGCAGATTGAAATTTCCTTTCAAGCCATATAAGCATTGTTAGGGTTGCCTTTACTATTTTTAGAGATATTTGCAATTTTCTATTTTTTGGACAGTTTTTCTCGTAGCAGACCTGTTGTCAAATTGGCCATGACCAACTCCAAAAACAATTAAAATAACGTGACATTTATCAAGTTAGTTGTCAAATTATTGTTGTGTCTGTAACAGTTTTTGCCGAAAATTTAAATACAAATGCCTAAGGATCATTTAAATTATACTAATGAGAATTATTTTAATTTGTTTACGATCGCTAGGCATTTTTATTTAAATTTTCAGCAAAAACTATTAGGGACATGACAATAATTTGACAACTAACTTGACAAATGTCATGTTATTTCAATTGTCTTTGGAGTATTTCTGGTCATGGCCAATTTGACAACAGGTCTGATACGAGAAAAACTGACAAAAATACAAATATAAAAGATACAAAGATACAAAAAAATAAAAAATTGTAAATATCTCTGAAAGTAGTAACGGCAACCCTAACAATGCTTATATGGCTTACAAGGATATTTCAATTTGCATACGACAGAGTAAAAAAATATAGGGTGTTCAAGTAAGTTAACAAAGTTATAGCTGTTTGAAGTTATCAAAATGTAACAGCAAAAATGAAACATCTAGTATTAAATGTCCTTTACAGATACCAAAAATCCGCTTGATATCATTTTCCTGAAAAGAATTACTAGCATCTCCGCGGATCCTTGCATCCGTCAAATTTTAATTTAATTAAAAATTAATATCTCAAAATCTATAACTCCTAGGTATAGGGAAAATTTAATAAAGTGACCCTCAAATTTCAAGTAGAATCCGACAATTCAGTAATAGTGTCCCATTTAAAATAAGAAAGTTAATGGCGACTTCCTGTATAAGCTGAAGTGCCATAAAGTTCTAAATATTTTAGCTGTGTTGGCTCTAATGCCTTTGCTAGGTTGCAAATTTTCAGATTTATTGGATCGGTACTTTCCGATATTTCGATAGTGGCGAATCCTGATAAGACACCCTTTATATATAGTACTGCACGCTATCTTCTGTATATTCAACAGGCATGTAATGTTCAGGAAAGGTATTGATGAATATAAGAGGTAGAAAAATGCTTTTTTCCCTTATTCTGAATGTATTGTCAACTTGTAGACAGTTTTATATCCTGGAGAAAACTGGTGTAACTGGTACAGTGAAGAGATATTATTTCTAACTTCATATAGATTCACTGAAAATTTCGCATAAAAACGCCCCCGTTAAGTACATTTCCTGTAAACTCATTTAATCGTGGTGGGATGAAAATTATTTTTTTTGATAAAAGTTCTAGAGAAACAATTTAATAAGATACAAAGTATTGCAATTTTTTAATTTTTATTGCCTTTTTATATTTCTCTCCTGATTTGTATTCATCTCTACACCACCCATCAGCTTACAGATTTCGGAGCATTCTTTTAAGTTATAAAATGATGTATCAAACAAACAAAACAAAACAAACCTTGAAAATATGATATCTGAAGAGTTTACTTATTTAAATCTTTATTTTTTTTTAGCGGAAGCACAATTACCTGCTCCAATTTCTTTTATAATACCTATTTTATCTGACTTATTGAATAGGTATGTGTTTTTTGGGAGCAACGAATCCATTTTACTTCCTTTTACTACTATTGAGCATTGCGTGATACAACGGTATAACACATTTTTGTGTAAACCATCCAACATGTCAATTAACTCGTTAAATTCAGGTTTTATTTCTTTCCAGGCATTAGGCTAGCATTTAAAAGTGTTAGGTAAGAATCAATTAGCTACTTTAGACAGTTAATTATTTGAATTCCGATCATTATTTTAACAAAACTAAATTGATCT